TAAATTCTTAATTTACCGGGTACATTTCCGAGGGCACTTCTGCATATTTACCGAAATTTCAATTCTTTCCACCATAAAATAATTCTCGACAAGATCATTTGGTTCTGCCATCCCAATTTTCCAGTCTCATTTTGCAGAAGTACCGATGTAAATAATTCCACCCCCTAATTCTCTAGAATTGCAAAATTTTCCCCTCCATCCCTTCCAACTTATAAATTTCATGGATTTTTTTCGCAAAAATTAAAGCTCTTCTTCCGTACTTTCTATCCACATGCATGTTACAAATAACAGATTGCAGAATGTGGAAGGAAAAAATTGTCAAATCTGCAATTTTTTTTCCACGTGCAACCTGACAAGTGATGTCAACCCCAGTACATCCAACGCCAACCCTCCCATAAATTCCCTTTATCGAGGGTAATTACTCGCTTGATGGAGACCAACATAAGAGAAAAATTACAGGTTCCCACTGTGAAAAAGAAGAAGGGAAATAATGGAGGGTAATTGACTCAGCGGTTGGTTGAGACAAACGTTGTCTCGTTGTGGTACATCCGAGACTTGCTTGAGAATTTCCCGGGAATTGACACGAATCCCTTGTTTTTCCACCGGTTTCATGTACGCCCTTTACTGCAATGCTGCAGCATAAACAAAATCGATAACTCCAGTCCTCCATGTCGTCCTTAGTGCTTATGCAAGCACTTTCCATGCCGATAATTTTTTCAAGAAATAGGGATGATGGTGGACGAGGTGGGGGAGAAATGTTGTAAAAAGTGTGAAAATATTTAAGCGTTTTCCTCTATTTATTTTTTCTTTTCATCCCTTCTGGGTTGCAATTGATTCCTTCATTTCTCTCACGTTCAACTATGAATCATTCAAATTTATACGGGGGACAAAGAATTCAGGGTTGAAAGGAAATTTTTGATGGATTATATTTTTTGTTGTGTATTCAAATTCAATTCATTATCGAGGGTATTTTATTGAGGGCATTGAGGGCTGTCTGGGGGTGAGAGGTGAATTACAAGTTTCAAATTCAATTAAACGCCAACTCAATTATTTATTCCTTATTAGCGAAATAGTGTTCGTGAATTCGTTATTCGGAATTTATGTTTGGTATTGATAATCGGAGATTGGTAGAGATTTCATGATATTAATCCTAAATTGTTAACGGTGCAGTGAGCAACAAATAGAATTAGTTAGTCGTTACTCCGATTAATAATCAATTTGAGAGAAATTATTTGGGGAAATTCGAGTTCTATACGTAAAAGATCTAAAATTTTTGTGTTTTAATTAAAAATATAAAAATTAAGTTTATTCTTTTGGGGGTTGAAAAATTCTGGTATCACTGAAAGAAAAATTTCAAAAGAATTGGGTAAAGCGGGTACCGAACGCGTATCATTTGCTTTTGAAACGCCAGATTAAAAGAAAAATAATATAATAATGTATATTAATTTAGAGTGAAATATCTAATGATTTCATGGAGATCTACGAAATATTTGAACATGTCGCATGAAAATCATACAAAACCGATTGAATGATAAACAAACAAAAAATTATATCAATCAATGATTATGATCATAATCTATTTCATCTGAAGATTTTTTTTTAGACCAAGATGGTTTCCGTAATACTGACGAATAGTGGAATTTTCCTATTGCCTGAAAATATTCCTGGAAAAAATAACCTCCTGTAATATTTCTAGAAAACAATATCACAGCCGTGGTCTACAAATAAATCGTAATACGATGTGGAAAAAATGTGAATGAATAAATGGTGGGGGAAGGTAGTCGTAAAAAAATGGCGATATCGAAGTTGCCCGTGGATCTCGGTGATTTCAACTCGTAAAACTTTTCTTCAACGAATGGTCCACGTGTGGACCCCTCCATTTAAATTTTTTACTCCACGTCGATTTCTATCTCCCGTTGCAGAATCCCCTTCAGAGCCCGGAATCACCCGGCATTTCCTTGAATTCGTTGTTTCAGTTACACTGAATGAATTATGATGCACGTTTTCCCGCAATAACTTTTTCCCTTTTATGCGGTACTTCGTGAATAATGAAAGTTGAGACGAGCGAACGCACTCACTTGATAACCGGTCATAATAGAGATTGAACAAATATTCTAATCGTTGCCTCGGGTTTCAATCTCATTATTATTATTATTTTTTTCTTGGGTGAGTAATTATTATTGGAAAAACTTACCCGACAAATCAGAATGAGGGGAATAAAAAAATCCAGGGGAAGGGTAATTCGTCGGTTTAAGCTGCGAGAATATATTGAGACAGGTAAACGAATGGTCAGACTCCCGAGAGATATCTGTCGGATTTTTCTCCCAAAACTCCTCGATCACGTCAGATCCCTCCAATAGGACATCCCTCAAGCTGAACTGTAAGTGGATTTTCTTTTTGAATTCGCGTAAGGCGGAATGTTGCGTTTGGAATTGAAAATGTATGGAGCTAGAAAAAATAAAAATATTTATTCTATCGCTCGTTGGGTAGTCACTCTTCCCACATTGACGTTCAATTTGCTTCAGGGGATTACGAAATTTCAAGCAATTATCGTTCATAATTACTTCATAATTTAGTCACATTTTTTATATTTCCATTTTTTTTTTGTGATTTCTATCAATTTTTAGAAAATTGGTAGATGACTGAAATTTATAGTTTCGTAGTTTTCGCGTAATATTGACCAATCAAGAATTGATAAATAAATCTATGACGTTCCATAACAACTTACGATTAGCTTACAACTTCGTCTTAATTTGAAACAATTTTTTTTTAATAGTCATAATATATAAAATGAAGTATTTTCAAAAATTATCATATATTCATTTTTTTTGTTGTAATGATTATAACAGACATATATCTATATATATATATATTTAAATATTTACGAAATTGAATTGTATTTGATAGTTAAGCGTGACCGTAAGTCTAAAAATTGTCCCAGTTCAGATCCCACTGAAAAATTAATGATAATTCACCCCGTTAAAATGAAGTATTTAAAATTTTTAATATGAACAAAAATTTGAGCAAATGTCTTGAATTAAAATTGAATTGAATTGAGATAGTACAGCGACATTCCGACGGCTTTCAAACTTTAGCCAATGATAGGTAAATATAATACATTTTTTTAAAGACTTAATTGCTGTCGGACTTTCCTGACCACTGGTCGGGCCTCTCCCCCTGCCACCCACCGACTTGCTGACGGGGAATTAGCAAAAGGTACTCAGAGCAAGCAGTAATTAAGCGCTTTACGCTCGGTCACTTCTAGCCGCAATTGTGCCCCACGGTGTACTTTACCGCAGCAAAAGTCAAGTGAGGGGCTTATAACGGCCACCGCGACATCTCCAATATGACGCGTTAGAATAATTGACGTGGCACGAATAAGAAAAAGAAAATGTTATAATGTCATGAGACTCCTTAAATAATTGGCGAAATAAATAAGAAAAACATGGGAAGAGTTTGTTTACCCGTTGCATCATCGTGCCCTCATCGTGAGCGATCGTAAAACTCAAATGCTTCAATTTTTTTTCCTCCATTCTGCCGTTGGTATTTTATGACCTAGTGAGCATTGTCCGTAAAAAGCTGGACTAGGGTAAAAAAGAGCATCTGAGGAATCGACGCGTACTGAGAGAAGTGAAAAAGTACGATCCTAGTAAGACAGAATGAAACATTGGACTTACAGTGGAAAATGTATGAGTTTCGTTAGACCAGTGGTACGTCGATCCCAGGGAAAACGGTGCAACTGTGGCAAGACAGTGTTAGTACATGTTTCATGAGTTTCCAACGTTGCGATAGATGATGCTAATTAATAGTTTGAGGGATAATTGCGAGATTTTAGCTCACAGCGAGCGAGAATCAACTGCAATTGTGCACTGTTGGTCATTTTTGGCATCATTTTTTTTTTTATTGAAATAATAAGTAATACCTGTAGATAATACTCTAAAATTGAGTTGGGTTAGACATCTTTGGGTTAGACATCATTTTTCTAAGATCTCTTCTAAATATTTCTCTAAAATCTTAGATGAAAAAATTACGTGTAGGTTTGGATTTTCGTAAGTTGATAATAATTTTCTTCAATATCCATTGAAACTTGAAAATTTTCCGATTTATCTTCCCTAAATCGAATTCAGAGAGCCTCTTCTGAAAATGACTAGTCAACAGCCCATGAAATTCCAATTCTCTTCCAACAGTGCAGTGAAGGTAAATAATTGAGTCTCGAGTTGAGAGGGGAATCTTCAATATTTTCGGAAGGTCGCTTCGACAAACTTCCGGGGAGTTTTCAGGTCGCGGCATTAACCTTCTCCTTAGAGCCTAAAATTTTCAGCTTCAACGTCGACATGAACGTTGACGGCACTGATAAAAGAATTAATATCACCAAAATTCTGTATTACAACTATTGCAAAAGGAACAACTGAATATTTGATAATAGATCTCAAACAATTCAGTTGAGCATCGATATAAAATAATTTCAAAATTCACCTCATCCAAGTGCACACCGAAAATTCATATTATTGAATTAACCAACGTGTAAAAGATTTAAAGAATACTTGTATACGTCAATTAACACGAATATTAACAATTACCTCCAACAAACCGGTAATGAATGGAAAATGAAAAAAGAGGGAAAATTTCAACGAAATTCAGTGTATAATTATCAATGAAATTCTTCGATCAGTTCAACAATTTAATAATTATAATGCAAACTGTAAATTTTCAATGAAATTCATGGATATTTCGGAAATTCGCCGGTGAGCTTTCGGGTCGCGGCATTAACCTTCTCCCTGGAGCCAAAAATTTTCAGCGTTGACCCCGCCAAATGAGGTATACGTGTCCTACCCATCCTGTACTCATCCAAAGATTCTCACTGGCATTCCAATGTACATTCTGCGCGTAAAGACTTTATTCGGTGTAGTGAGGGATACGGGGTAAAACGGAGGGCGGCAAGAGGTGCCGTTGGTAGGAGCTTGCGCCGAGTGGACAAACTCCGGTGAATGCTCGTCGGCGAGGCGTCGTTCGGGATCCAGTTGGAAGTTGCCGGGCTACGACCTAGCATCTCCCTGTTTATCCCACAACTATCAGTGAATATTTGTGTTTACGCCAAGTACCAGCGAAACATCCGCGAATAATTACTGAATAATAAAAACCGCCCGCGTATCACCAGCCGAATGTGACAATCAAATGACATTTTCAATTGGTCAAATCAATTTACATATTTCAACGGGAGAATTCTTTGGTAATTAATAATCAACCAGGTGAAATATAATTGGACGGATTTGCTATTTGTTACTGAATGAAAAAGTATTAAAGTGCATTTCATTTGTTGTTTTGCCTCGCAACTATTTAAATTATTAAAGCCCCGGAGTTTGTTGTTGAAAAAGTTTTCAGTGGTTGGCGAATGAGGGATGGGTGAGGTATGGCTGTGAGATTTTATACCAAGGGTGCTGAAACGGTTTCGCAACATCGGGGAAACAATGTGAGCTTTCGATCATGAAGGTGAGGGTTTTCCATATTTTCACACTGCTCTCGGCTTTTCATCCGCAAATTCAAACACAAATTTGTTACATTGCGTGGTGATGTTGAAAAAACAATTCGCTATTTTGGAAAGAGACTGCGTTGGGTTATTTTTACGAGTTTAATTTTTACGGTATAGGTGAAAAATTTGACTGTTTTACAGGATTTTTAACGAATTTCGTCATTAAAAATTGAAAACTTCGTAACAGAAATATAGAAATCCGTCGTTTGTCGTTCGATTATTTCGCAGAGATCATTATAATTCATTGAAATTTACGGAGAATTCAATATTTGCAGTTTTGAAAGAAATTGAATTGAGTATGGGTAGAAATTTAATCAGACTGAGAGTAGAATTTAACCTACGGCTTTACGTCAATTCCCTCAGCTCTCTACTGGTCAATTCGGAGAAGTGCGAAATTCCTTTGAAATCTAGTTTTTTGCAACACGATTGGACGTGAAGAAAATTACTTGTGCGAACTAAATTAATTGAAAGAAAAAATTCAAATAGACTTGACATACAAAGTTTAGACATTCAGCCATGACTGAATTTATTTAAATAATTTATTTATTTGAATTTTTTGCTTTTTGGAAATTGTCGAAGGAATATAAATAATAAAAGCACCTGTGACATTGATTTTTTTGTGCAAACAAACTCTGTTTGTACGTAGGAACATGCGATTGGCACATTTTATCCTCGGGCAGATCTCTTCCACATGATTCCATTTTTTGTAATTATATTCGCAAACTTGACGATTAAAAATTAATGGAATGTGGGGGACAGAGAAATAACTTTTTAACACAGTGGATTTAATACGTTAATTTTAATTTATTGAAAATGGCACGAGGAAGAAATGTCTGTTCAATACAACCTGCTAGAGCAGACTAAAGTGGTCAACGAGGCCAAAAAAAGAAAATCGTCATAATGTGACAATGGATCCCCAGTCCCTTTGCCATACGAGAACGAACGCGCGCTACAGCGCGCTGTAATTATAAAAATTGTGATTAAAAATTGTTAATTTAAGTGAGTTTCAAATTCAAATTAGCCGCCTCAAACGACTGAACCAATGAGAAATAAGCGTGACAGTTTCGAGATATCGATAGTCTCGATGTTTATCCTTTTTAGAATAGGATGACCTCATGGCTTATGTTTATGTCTAATCCCAACATCTCTCTCTATGTTGATACATTTTTGAAACCATAGACTCATATAAATCAATTCGTAGAAGACTGAGGCTATATTCTAACAAAAATGAATTGCAAATATTTAAATCAACTCTAAATGAAAAACGACACGGCAATTTTGCCCTTCCTCGTGCGGTTATCATTTAATGAAATAAAATAGAATAAAATTACCAATATCGATTTGATAAATATAAAAAAACTAATTTAACTTTTCATTTTGCGTTGATTCCCTGAAATAATATTTATCTGCTCTGAAAAAATACAGAATCCCAATTTTTCGTTTAAATTTCAGCTCTTTGGACCAGTGTCGTCTAAAAACAAAAGCTTTTACGTAAACAATTTAACCATTTACATAAAAATTTCAGCTCTCTTTACACCGAAACCAATGTACCCCAATAATTCTGAAGCCGACACGTGAATTTCTCTTCTATTTATCAAATTTCTCCCGATAAAGACCCCCAACAAAAAAGTATTTACTAACCATCAATTCCTCCTCCATACGCATCGTCTCTCCCCCCCCCCCCCCCCCCCAAAAAAAACAACTAAAAAAAACCATAATCAAATTCTAAATATTTGAATAGTAATATTTGCTGTACGATTTTCTCTCAAAAATTGCCCAATTAGCCTGCCCTGCAGCAGGCAATTAGTTGCACCAATGAAAAAAAAAAAGTCTCTATAATCTTTACCACCCCTAAACCGTTAAATATGAAAGAAACACCTGTAACCCCCCGTTTTTCACTCCACCAAGCGATACCCATGATTATACGTGTTAACTTGTGATTGGTACATTATCCTGGGGTAGATATTTCCCCCATGTACCCATTTTTCCCTCCCTCAGCCCCTCCCACAATGGACTGCGAGAAGAACTGGAGTTTAACCCGTAGTATCGTTGTTCCGGTGAAATTCAGAATCCCCGAGACACTAGCGGTGACAGCAACGTTATTTCTCATTCCCGGTACGACCTTTTCACCCTCAAACCACCCCGGAACATCCCTTGCTCCTTACCCCATCAAGTATTCGCTTGAGGGTAAACGAGAGTGGGTAGGGCGTACAAACCTCCTTGTGCATCTCTCTTTTTACAGCCCCCTCTTTTAACCCCTCTCCATGCTGGTCCTTCAACCCCTTATTTCAACCCCCATTTCCATCCTCATGTGGATACACCGTTTAAAACAGTTATACGCTTGCGAACCCGTTCGCGTCCTAACGGGATTCACCCGGAGCCATGACATATTAAACGACCCTTCTCAAGAAACCACCCCCAACTTTTCCCACTCACTATATTCCTATCTTCACGGCTGTTACATTTGTATATTAATATTGGAGAGTTGAGAGGGTACTTTGGTACCTCCGCACAACTTTGTGGCCTGTGTTCCAATGGAGTTCTTATCGAAATTTAATAATTACCGTGATTTATAATTAACTTGGGCCATTTTGCTCGGACAAGTTGGGGTAAATGGAACTCAGATGATTTCTTCATTCAGGCAATTTATAAAAAATGGAAGGGAAGTTAAGGGGTTCTATGAAGTTGTAAACTTGGAAAAGACGTTTTTTGAGTAATTTTGATAAAAAAAAATTTTGGTAAGTCAATGCAAGTAATTATTCAGATAGTAATTGGTTTTTAGTTAGTGATGGCAGTTAGATTATGGGAATATTGCTGTACAGTGTTCCTGTAGACGATCTGCCGAAGATCGTCCGACAGATGGATTTTTCTTCCGAAGATCGTACGAAAAAGTTGTGCTCGATGATTTACCTTACCTTTCCTCCTAAAGTCCAGTTCAACTTCCGATTTAACGTCAGTTGCATATAATTATGGGGAACCTAGAAACTCATTACTCGAACGATATTTGACAAGAGTTTCCTCCACAATTTCCCCGACTACCAGTATTAGCCTGTCAATATGTCAATTTCGATATTCGCAGATATCCGACTGAAAAAAGATATTCAATTGAATAAAAAAGTGAGTACTCGATACAATAATGGATGTTACCTTTTACCGAAATATAAATACAAGAAATGTGAAATTTCAAATTCGGTTATTTCCTCCATTCATTCAATAAATAAAATAAAATAAAATTGAATAATGCATATTAATTGCATAACAAATCCTCAAACATCCGTATAAAATTTCCATATAAAATATCATATAAATAATCATATTAATACATGAACACCAATATGTGGCCGATTTTATGCCAAAAATTGAAATAATTTTTAATGAGAAAAGAGGATCTGTTGGACCTGAATTCCCTCTAGGATTTTCCCACCACGGAGTATTAAACAGTCAATCTGTAAAATTTGATATTCGAAGGCTGGTAAAAGATATTCAATGGAAAAAAAATCGTGGGTACCCGACAGAATAATGGATATAACCACTGGAGGGGATATAAAGACGAGAGAATTACTTTGAAAATATGGAAGGAATGAAAATGAATAGGGGTGAGCAGAACGGCGAATAATATCGAGCACCACCTGTGTCGTATATATCAGCATACATAAACATCTGACCTTTTCCGACAATCGACACCTCTTAGATATGTCTTCGTGCCATTTACTTCCAAGAACGCCGTATGAATTCCGTACTTATAGAAGAATTCGGTTGATATTACTGAATCTATTCCGTTGAGTCGTTTTTTTTTATTGAATCAAATGAACATTCGTTGAAGTTAATCAAGTATATGTTAATCCAATGAAATATATTTTGCCACTCAATTGCGTGGACAGAATCGGTCTGTTGATGTAAACGAGTACTCGGTACTTGTTACCAGATCTCGATTGGTCCGATTATCCAACAATCTGGTGCATCAGCTATTTATATTAATATTTATAGATTAAATATTAATATCAATAAATATGATTTCATGTTTATACCCCCTATTTATCCAATACAATTTCATGAGAAATAATACCATCCAACACGATTGCAGCTAAAACGCATTCTTGGAAAAATAAAAATAAATGGTAAAATAATAAAATAAATCTCTAATAAATCTAAATATATTTGGAGTAGAAAAAGATTCGTAATCCAAAATGGTATTAAATGTAAAGTTTAATCATGTGAAGTAATATAATATAAATTACTTCATATTTATTTATTTAAATTTATTCAGCAACTATCAGCGGATGTTCAGTACTGATTTTGTAGCGCCATCTGGAAAGTTTTACCGCACCGTGTGTATGATAAAGAGAATTTTTCGATGGGCAGGGAATAAATGCACTTTACTGATGCAATTTGGAAGTCAATCAGGGGAATTTCTAGCTCTTTCGATGATTAAGACATTTTTCTTCCGGGGGAAAAGGGATCAACTGAGACAAGTGGAGTTTCATATTAGTCTAGAATGATGAAACTACATGAAAAGTCTGGGTGGAATTCCTGTCACGTTGTGGGTCTTAATTCGCGAAATGTAGAAGGTACCATGAATGATCGTTACCGCACTTCCACTCGGGAGTTTTCTCGCGTTTTTTTTTTTGAAGGAAAATCTCGACCACATCTGCTTGAAATAATTATCGTTGAATTTATGATGCACTAGTTTCAAAGGGAATGCTTTCTCGTGTTCTTGAAATTCAGTGCGGAATGAAGAATTCAGGAAAAATTAGCAGAATAAAAATGTAATCCGCGAGCGATGGAAAATATTACGGCTTGCGGATAAGATTTCTTCCCCTTTTTAATATGAAAACTGATATTTAATAATGATTTTATCGATTAATTCCGCTTTCTCACTTCGTTGCTCTGACATATATTTCAAATATCGTGAACTCTTGAAATTCAGTTCTTCCATCGATTTCTTTCTATAATTAAATCG